GTTGTGGAATTCTAATTCATAATGTGGAATTTTCTAATACCTCTTCTTTTTTAGTGTGTCAGAAAATCCTGATTTATCCAAACTGGGACATAGGTAGGAAAAAAGCTTTTTCAGTTTTAAAGTGAAATCTTAGTTCAAAACCTGAGTGGAAGAGGAGACTTTAGTAGACCTCTGCTATTGCATGGGAGGTCAGCATGCACATCCTTGCACTCTTTGAATCAGACCAAACCCTTAATCCATAGACTCTGAAGAGCTGAATGCTCTAAGCACTGAATTACTGTCAAATAAGTATTTTGCTGGATCTGATCTACTTCATGTGAATACTTCAATACTCAGTGGAGTAAGGAACCTCTTTTTCTCATAAATCACTACATGGGCTCTAATAACTTGTCTAAAAAACTAGTCTCGGTGGGCTAATCAACACTTCTCATAAAAAACAACTTATCTGTAAGTGAGGAAGTATAGAAATGGCTTCCTAAGACTTGGGGGTATAGCAGGCCTCTAAAATGGACAATAGTGAAGTACAGGACCCTTTTTCAGGGATTAGTAACACTATCTCTGTAAGTGAAAAGAAGATGTTCTTGTTCCATTCTGTTTCCTGAAACTAGCCACATTGGAAGATACTTGGGGTGCTGAGTTTAGATTTCATATTAAGTTACTGCTTTTTTTTTTTTTTTAATATATATAATTCAGCAGAGAACCAAAATTACAAGCCCTGACCTGGATCTCCACCTCTGATGTAATATTCCTTTGTAAGTTTCTGCAGAGAACCACAAAGACTATTTTCTGTTAATCCTCCTTTCACTGGAAGCCCAGTGAAGGATAAGATGTAAACAATGTAGAGATTTACCTTTTAACGAAATGAGCAGAGAACTCTAGTAGCAAGTACTGTTTATATTACAGTTAAACATCTCTCTCTCTCTCTCTGTCTTGATCCTCTGGAGAAATGACTGATGCATGCATCTTTGAATAGGTGCATTTCCAGCACTATTTGAATTCTAATGACTATGAGATCACTACTACTTCCAAGAGTAATTTCTTAAAAGTCTTAACAAAATATCTGTACTCTACCCACGCTAACATCTTCCCAAGAAAAGAGATGGTCCTATTTTCTGCCTCTGGGATTGTAAGTACGTTAACTGAAGATGATTACATTAGGGAGAGACTATTTGATATTGTGTGAGCCAGAAGTAAAGCAGTTCCACAGGTATTAACATTGCCATTAGTTATTGTTAAGGGTACAACAAAAATCATGGGCTGAAGTGTTTAATTTCTTCATATAGTAGATAACATTCATTACCAGTGTAAACTGACACCAATTTTCCACATGCATTCACTGATTTTGTATGTTGTTGAATAAAGATGATACTGCCTGACCAAAAATAGTTAATTCTTCCCAAAGCTTTGAAATGGCTTCCCTGGTCTTCTGCAGTGAGATGTACCCAAATCCTAGAAAGATGGATGAAACAGAATCGCTCAGTGGAACTTTGACTTTTGGTCTGCTGAAACAGGAAAGGGTATATAAAAAAAAACCCCCACACTCATATTTTTTATCTGTAACCACTGCTAAACTGTTATTTTCGGCAAAAAGGCAGATTCTTGGTCTATAGGGGGTAGAAGATGTCTTGCTATGTGTCTAAAGACATGTTTGAGCCTCAGTTCAGACTAGTGCTAACAATCAATTGCAGCTCATAAGTACCTCATTACTCAAGCTAAAGACTGGAGGGCCAAACAGCTCTCACGCTGTTGGAGATGCATGTGAATAAATAAGTCCCTGGGTATTGAAACCAGTGTGTTTTACTGTCAAGGTTTGCTGTATTACCTCCACTCATATAACCACTGTGTTTTTTTTTTTTAAATTGGATTTTCCCAATGCTTATTCTTTTTGGAATATTTATCTGCTCCATAATGTCCTTAGAGATCAGGATAAAGGCATGTTTGTAGGTATTGTAAAGAAATTTTAGTCACCAGTCACTTGTTCATAAGAATTCTGCTTGAAATATTGATCTACAATATTTTATTACCATGAAATTTCTGGGGCAAATCCTAAGAAAGATGCTATTTACGGCAGTTCTGGTAAGTTATCTGATAGAAGTTTGTATACTGACAGATGAGGAGCAACAGAAGATCTGACCCATAATAAAACCCTTGAGCCTACTCCTTTTCTTTGTTTTGGTTGTAAAAGTAGAGGATTTTTCGACATATCTACATTACTGATAGCAAGTTGATGAGCATATCAGAAAATAAATCAACCTCTTACTGTATTGCTGTTCTTGGTATGCTTTTCTTTCTTTAGACTTTGTTTTCTAGTGGTGGTGGTGTTTTCTGGAGATGAGCTGATGTTCCAGTTGTTATGATTAATACTTCTGTGTGAGACAGGCTAAAGTGCACAGTATTGATAGAGTACATTTATACTTGTCAAATTCTTCTAAAAGGAACAGTCCTTGCAGGAGGTAGTATTTTGTAACAGCTTTTTGTGTTCTGGAAAAATATCAGTCGTCAGCAGTGTTTTATTGTCTTTGTTAAAATAACATATTTACGTTAGTTTTGATGCAATTATTCTAAAAGTTTCTTCTCATTTTAAATATTGATGTGAATGTGAAAGTGGGGGGCTACTCTGTCTTAAAAGTTTTCCCCTTATAAGTGTACCTTTTAATTCTGGAAAGAAGTCAAGCACAGCATGAAAATAAAATGAAGCACCCAAAATAGAATATCAACTAGTTTTTGAAAAAGGGCTGCTAATAAAATACAAAAATTGTGAACTGTAAGCTTCACTGAAAACTATATTGAATTAATCCCTGTGTTTCCTGTTTTAAAGAAAAAAGTATTTACTGTACAAGTAAATTACTAGGGAAAACCACAAGGGAGTATATTTCCTACACTACATTAGAGAGTGAAACATAAATATAAGACCTTTCTTATTCTATGTTAGTAAGCTCTATTTAGAAGTGCATGGAGAAGAGAGTGCTGTCCAGGGCATTAAATAAAGTAGGAATGGGAAATTCAGGTTAAGAGAAAGAGCACTGCATTGATACATGCAAATGAAAGCTTAATTGTCTGAAGTCCCCTGTTCTATTTTATGTGGGTCATTTATGGTAATGTGTAAAATGCTGATCATTCCTTAAATATTTAAGCCAGTAATGCTAGCTAGATGGGCCTTTAATTTCTTTCTTCACTTATGGCTATCATAATTATTTCCATCAGAGTTTAGCTCTTTTTCATATTTCTTTGGAAACCTCTTGATCTCATCGCATTACTTGTCTCTCTCCCTCAGTTAAATTCCTGATGTATTCCTATCTGATACTAATTTATGCCTCTGGTTCAATGTATAGAGTAGTTTATTCATCGTCAATAACACCACTGAAATCACAGAAGTACTTGATGCCCTCATTTATTAAGGCACTTGAGGTCAGTGCCTTAAGCATGTGCTAAAAATGAAGCAAATGCCAGCACGACCACCAAAGGATTAGTCACCTGCATAACAGTTTGCTGGGTCCTTAAAAATAGGAACTTGTGGAACAGATTTACTACTGGTGTAAGGTTAGCACAGCTGTACTGAAAGCTAAATGATGCTGACAGTGCTTTCAGTGGAATTATGACAAGTCTATGCTAAGCCTTCCCCTTTTCTTGTTTTGTGCCGTGCTGATACATTATGATATGCCAAAAATAAAAATCAAAGTTAGAAAAATGCTTCTGACATTTTTAATTGTTCATATGCCATTTAGTGTTTAACAGTACTATTAGCATCTCAATAAGAAATTATATTGTTACAGCATATCATTTTTTTCCATTTGATTTTGTAGGGTCATACTGTCATGCTCTTTCACATTTTCTTGATAATAGGATATCTGTGGTGTCACTGCTACCTCACTTTTAATGAAAATAGGAATTGCAAATTGGATGAGACAAAACTTAGACACTTAGATTTGCAGGTTAAGGTATTTCTTGTGCCGTAGATGAAGACATGTTGTTTTGTATTAGGAAACTGTGGAGGAAAAAAGAATTTATGTTTTCCCATTGAGTCTGAAAATTTTCCTCCCTATGACTATGCACTCTTTTTGCCTTTTTCTAAGGAAAAAACTGTTTTGTATAGAGATTTTTCTTTCTTTGTTGTCTTTTTCTTCCTTATAAGAGGTGCCCCTGTCACCTCTTATGTGTAAAATATTTTGACTATGAGAATATAAGCTTGCAAGCCAGCTGGCAAAAGGTTTTAAAATTTAAAGTTTTACTGGAAATGTTTTATTCTGCATGAATTCACAGCAGTTATACTGTGTTTCTTTTTCCAATTAAAACTATAAAATTAATTCCAATGTATAGGAACAATATTGTTAAAATTTTAGGACAGATTACCAACTTTTATGTAGTGCTTTTTGCAGACCTTTAAAACATTCTCATTGTAAGTTTTGTTTTTAAAAAAAGAATGTTCTGTTTTAGGGGCAGCATTGTTGCATTTCAGAAATAATATCCTGTAAAATGCCTGTAAGAAGATATTTTATCTGAAAGCCCATTGTAGCTTTCTTATGATGAGTTTCAGGATTCTGCAACAATAAAAGTGTTCTTATTCAAATGTATATTATTGCTTTCATTCCTCTAATAGCAGCATTCATTCATATCAACCTATAAATAGACAAAGAAGAAATTGCATAGAGTATTTGTTATTCATCCTCAATATTTTTTATTTTGTTGTTAGATATCAGACTTTGAAATAGTTGTATGGTGTATTTGCATGGAATACAGAAAAAAAAAGTTATTTCCTCTGAGTGTACACATGCTTTCTAGCTGTGTTTCCTTAGGATGTAAAAAGTTACTGATTTAGTTCCATTGGTCGTTTTTATTGCCTTCCTGAAGACAATGGAAATTACACAAGGCTCCATATAAAAGCATCTCCAAGTGTAAATTAAATCTATGGTATAGTCTTTTGTAAATAGAGAAGAATGTACTCTTAGATAATAAATCTTTTTTATGTATATGAACAAGATGTCTATTTTTTTTCTTCCTAGATACACCTTTAGTTAAAATAATTTCTTCCAATTCATGGCCTGAAGAAGGACAATCTATAATTTTGACTTGTGAATCCAAAGGAAAACCAGTGTAAGTGATTTAACAAGTAATATATTTTTGTTATTTTCCTTATTCTGCTGTGATTGCAAGCTTCAGCTGCAGAAATCTGCTGGTTTTGTCTCGTCCTGGGGTGTAAAGTAATCTCTGGTATAGAAAACCCGTTGAAGCCTGTCTTCATTAAGTGTCTATAGAGGATTGTTCTTTTACTTTGTCATCTATTTTCGTTTTCAGGAAGAATTCCAACTGTGAGATTATTTTTTTTTCAGTCAGGTATACCAACCTGAAAGGAGTGCAGGCTTAATCAGTCACTCTTTACATCACTGACCTGATGATAGTAGAGAAAACATCTCATGAAAATCTTCCTACATCAGCTAGCCTCAGAGAAAAAGTACTGAACTTTCTGGATGCTTTGGCTGTCATTTACAGGGAAATTTGAAGGTTAATGATATGTGCAAGTTGGCTGCCTGTTTCTACCAGAATTTGAAAAGATGTAACCTGCTTTAAGAATATAAAGTGTTTTACTTGGAAATTAACACCTCTGACATCAATATTTTTAAAGGCAGATCTGCAGAGATTAACTCTTGCACTGAATCTACTATTTAAATAAACTTCACTCTCTTAAAACAGTATTTTCTCAGATGAGCTGTTATGTATTTACCCATAAAGATACATAAATAATCCAAGTGCTTAATATTAAGGTAATATGAATCAAGTTTCTTAAACATTGACCTTCTGCTCAAAAGATTAATATATGGTGTCATATGGAGTGGTGATACACAGCTTTAAAATGGTCTTGAAAATGATAGAACAATAATATTTTGGTTCTAGAAAAAGTGCAAAGTACATGCCAAAAATCATGTCACTTAGGGATGAATTTCTCCCTGGTGTAACTTTAGTGACTTTACAGAATTGCTTAATGTAGGAACCTGAAGTCAGATTTAGGTCACATCAGTCATTTAAGTGCAAAAATTCTATTTTTATAAGCTCTTCTGAGCTTAGTTGGGCATCATTTAAACTCCATAAGTACTTTTCTTTTTTATATTATATGCCCATATCATTTTAAAGCAACTCCTTCATCCAAATCTTGACTGGGCTGAGCAACTCAGCATCTAGATCATGCTTCTACCCTCTTTGAGACCAGAACACTGGGGGTCTGTCCAGTTAGTCTTATGTGGTCCTCAGTGCAATTGACCTTCTCTGTACCTATGTACTTCTGAAGTTGCAAGCCATCTCTTGCTTTTATAATGTACCTGAAGGAGAAGAAATTAACAATTTACCTAATAGCCTAAACCTAAACATGGAGTTTAGACAGTTAATTCAGTCAGACATCTATCTCTGTATTTTGGGATACTACATATAGATGTCTATATATAGACATTTACATCAAATTTTATATCTATATTTAATTTTGGTCAGATGAATCTCACTCTTTGTCTACAGCTTATAACAACATTTTCATATTCTTCATTGAAAATGGGCTAAGATTTTTTTCACATACCAAAGATGTTAGACTCTTAAAAAGAGAGACAATTAATCCTCTCAGATATTAGATTTTCCTTTAGATCCCTGTATTTGTTAGTCATTTCTGAAGGCATTAAAAAACTATGAAAGTGCTATGCTTTAGCTTGACATACACAGTATTTTCTATCTGTCTGGTACATGTAATATTGTAGATATACTTTATGTTACGTTAGGAGACAGTAATTAAAACAGTAATTAAAATGGAGCCTGAATTGAGATGTTTACTGATTTATTATTTTTTTTAATTTAATAAAACTCAGTTGCATCCTTAATAGATTCAAATGCAAACCTTACATGCAGTTTTGAACGGGCAGCCAAACAAAAACTCCACACCACAGAATTATCAAGGCAGGGCACCTGTACGTGGTAGCCTTTGGGGCACAAATATTTTGCCAATAAATGCACCTCTAATTGTCCATGCCTCACAAACTGCCAACATCAGCTGCTTTGTATTGCTTCATTAGGTCAGTCTTTCACAGTGCAGAGCCAGTAATAAATAGGTATCCTTCTGGGAGCAGTTTGCAGTTGCTTAGCATGAGAAACAGTAATGTCATGCTCCCAACCCATATTATGATTACCTTCTGGCTTGTAGAGAGAGAGAAATTGGAGAGGTCCACAGAGCCCAGATATGTCAGTGTCACAAGATGAGTGATGAACTGTGGGCTTCATGGGCAGCTCAGAGCCTACCATGGTCCTTCATAGCCATTTACACACCATGGGTTAATTGCTATACACTGTCAACTTTATGCCACAGTTACAGCCATCTCTCCTGTTTCCAGTAGGCAGCAGTGAATCACACCAGAAAATGAACACTTACTTATAGGTACATTTCTCTTGTATCCCAGAGCAATTTTCACAAGCTTCAAAATGACATTTGAGATGAAAGTGGAGAAAGAATGAAGCCAGGTTTTGGCTGTGGTGACATTCATGGTACTGATAGCTGCTGCAGAGTAATTCTTTCCCAAAAGGGAAAAACAAAATGAGGCTAAAGGTAGAATGTACTTACCCCATCTTACATCTCATCACCAAGCCCCTCCCTCCCTCAAACCATGTGCATCATAGATACCCCGATACTGTGTTTCAAATCTGCGACACAGTCCTAAGGGCTTTACTAGGACTATGTTACTACCTAATTTACTGTCTTGTAGCAGAATGGGAGGGAAGCCTTGCTCAGGCCAACATCTCTGGGAAATCAGCTGCCCTTTGCATCTCCTGCTGCAACAGCATCCTCCAGATATATAGCAGAGAGATGAGGAACAATGGTTTACTAGGTGTGAGAACTGGGCAGCTCAGGTGCTGCTAAGGTTTCATAGTTTAGAGTGTAAGATTTGGCTTGACAAGTCAATGGTCATGACTTTGGCTAAGAGAAAAAATGGCCTCAGACACTTGGATGTGTGCAGCATCAATTGTAATGTGTGAGATGAGCTGGAATTATCCCAGACTCTGAGGTTGCTAGTTGCTATGAATGGGTTCACGTCACCTCACATTTGTGGTCTTGGTGCAGAGATAGCAATGTTGGAACAGTGCTCCTGAGAGTGGGCTAAGGGGGAGAACTTGAGGGGGTAGGAGAGGGGGTGGAGAGGAAGATGGAAATGTGGGTGAGCCATTTTGAATGATCCAGTGAGGCAACATCAGAGGGCATGACGGGATGCACAAATTCTATAACTGTGCTGTTTTATCTCTCTGCTCATCACTATGAGTATGAGCATAGCTCTAACTCTGGTCATGGCCCTGTGCTTATTGCTATTAGGGGAATTGCTTTGGAGGCAGGAGCTGTTCTTTTCAGTAAGCGCTGTATTGCTGCTATAGAAGTGTGATGGTACCAATAAAAAGAACAGGCCAGGTTTCCTGCCTGCTCTGCAATGGTTTTGCAGAGGCAGGCCATCTGGGGGATTAATAAAGTGTCACAGATCGTTATAGACCACCACAGTTCCCTCAAGATTATGTGTTGTGGCTGGTGCAGCTTGAAGCAGGGGTTGGCTGCCTGAGAGGTGCTTGGGAGGTTACTGCAGGAGCCGACAGTCTTTGGGGTTTGACCCTAGGGGCTCTGATGGGACATGTGTCATGACACCAGTCCCACGTGGTGGGATGACATACTGACCGCATTGTTGAGTCAGAGTGGGAGTGATTGGATGGCAAGGGGACGAGGCTTCCTCATACATTGTCTTCCAAAAGACCTGCCTCTTGCTTCCATATACAGCTCCGGTTAAAATTATTGCCTCTAGGATCTAGCATCAAAGCTTGAGTTTTCTCTAAAAAAATCAGGTTACACTTATGGATCTAAACCTCTGGATTTGATGGTATCCTGGTGCAGTTCGTGTAGCAATTGGGGCACCAATTATAAACAACAGGGGAAGGCAGGTATTTGGAATATTGTATGTATAAAGATGGTGGAAAGGAAAAAAGAGGAAATATATTTATCAGTTTACCACAGAAATAGTTTTTAAACATACTTATAAGCATAACTCACCATAGAAACATAGCCTATATACTGTAATATTTTAAAGGAACTTGAAATAGCATTTGTGAGAATTGTTGTCCAGTTGGTCAATAGCCAGTTGGTAGACCAAATTAAGAGTTTTCTTTCGGAAAAATTCTAGTAGGTGTGTTTCTGTAAGCTTAGTCTTTTCTTATGCAAGTCTTAGTTGCTGGTTTGTTCACCCTGTTGATAACTTCAATAATAATGATGTCCAGTTGTTTTATTAAATTGTAGATAAAAAAGTATTTAGCCATTTCTCTACATAACTTAGGTCAAGACACCCAGTAGTTGACATTACTATTCAATAGCATTCCTCTTTTGGAGATACTGTGGTATAGTTTCAAACCAAATTGAAGTTATTCTCTTGTCTTTTCAATCTTTAGAGCTATTTTGTGTTTTCCAATATTTTTGGCTGGATCCCTGGACAGTTGTCAGGCTGTAACATTGCAGTAAATGAACTAGCCTAATATGTCTGTAAGGTGTCAGTGGCTCTTTTAAATTTATTTCTTTTTTAGCATAATGTAGTTTTACCTAGACTTTGTTTATTTTCCAAAGAAGGAAATGTAATTTGGCTTCAGAAATCATAGACATCCTTTGTGTGAACTCACATGCAGTGTCTAGATTTTTCTGAAGTCATTGCCTGACAATATTTTGAATATTTAAAAAAAAAACAAGACAGCTGTAAAAAGTAAAAACCAAAGAACAAAATTATCATTTACAGTAGTCTGTGCTTACAAAAGATTTTAAAAGCCAATGTTTTCTTATTGTAAGTTTTAGCTTCTACACACTGTTGTCTCTTAACAATATAGTCTAGTGAGTCAAAACTGACCCAAAAGTGAACTCAAAAACTGGACCATAATAAAAGAATGGTTCAATATTTAATATTCTTGGTCAGCACTCCCACCAAAGTATGCATGAAATATGTTTTTTTATTAAGTCAGTGTCATTTCAGCAGAAAGGATGTCAAAAAATAATGGAATAATTAGGGCACAGGAAGCAAAGGGAGAGTTGGTTGTCTCCTGTGTGCTTT